CCCATACAAACGGTAAAGTGGCGTGATCTGGGTGACGCCACTTTCCCGCCAAATTGCGTGGCAGCCTCCCATTGGCCGAAGTACCGTTGTTGCCATGCGAGTGAAAACGTCCACTGCTATCACCCGGCCCGAACGGCACCTCGGCTAACGGTCACCGATGATCGTCGTGCGTGCGACGCGAACCCATTGCTGAATCTGTAGGAGCGAAAGAGCCCGCCTCTAACAGGACTTTGACCCCCTTTCCAGTGCGAGGGTCGCTCCTACAGTATTCGCGTCGCTGTGTGGAGCAACATGTATATGCACGTATATGCATATAAACGCACAGCAAATACATACGTTTATATACATTAATACGTGCATACCTATATTGCTCCTCACAACATGTCTAGTCTATGTGTTCTCTGGTCAGTGGTACAGCGAACCAGTAGGAGAACTGGGTTATGTTATTAACCGAATGCTGTTAACAACATAACATTGTGTGGTGCGGGAGGAGCAATTCTTGTTAATGGGATCTGGCATTAACAGATATTAAGGCGACCCACCATGCCCACCCTACCTTGATCGCTGGCTACCTGCCTTTATTAACAGCGATCCCATCCCCAGCTTGGAGAGCTAAGAAAACCTACAAGACGCGCCGCATGGCGCATGATCAAACTTAGTTAAATTTCATTACATTTAATGTAAACATATAATTATACATTATTGTTTTGGGTAGAAGGCAAAAGAGAAGATACAGAAAACACAAAAAGAAAAGGGAGCTTTTGTAGAGCTTTTTCTCTCCGATCTAGATCAGCTTATCAAAATCTAAATAATAAGAAGATTATTGCCTATTGCATTATGTTTTTAGACTCATTCACGAAAGTGAAATGAGTATATTGGTTTTGTGCAATGTCCGTCTTGCTGTCCGTCCGTCTGTCCGTCAGTCCATATGAACGCAATCTATTTCGGCGCTATTGAAGCTAGAAATTTGGAACACATACTCGTGTATATCTCCAAACTATAAAGTGTTAAAATTTTCCCGATCCGCCCACTAGGGGCGTGGCAAATCGGAAAATGCATTTTCCGATATACCAGAAATCATGTTTGTTGAAAAGCTAGAAAGCTGAAATTTGGTATAAGGGTCCGCGCCGACCCAAGATCACAAGCTATGGCGGATATATCTCCGCCCATTAGGGGCGTGGCAAATCGGACAAAACTGTATCTCCTAAAGTTATAAACCTAGAATGCTGAAATTTCGCACGTAAGCTAATGTTTTAATTCTATGAAGATGGGTGAAAAAATTATATATCTACGCCCACTAGGGGCGTGGCAAATCGGACCTGAAGATATAGTGATTTTTCGAATTCTGCTATATTTTAGGCACTATTGATGCTAGAGATCTGAAATTTAGTATATATACGCGGGTTGACCACCCAAGTCCAACGAGCTATGGTAGATATTTGTCCGCCTATAGGGGGCGTGGCAAACCGCAAAAGTTTATATCTCCTACAGTTTAAGAGCTAGAAGCTTCAAATTTGGATAGTTAAGTTACTGGTGGCCTCCTCTATCGATGCCCCAAAAATAATTTTTAAGCCTCTTTAGGGGCGTGGCATATCGAAAAATACCCTGTAATTTTCACATTTTTTGAGCGTAAGAATTCAAATTTTGCATTTAGGTAACCGGTTGTTCGTTCTAAGAACTGGCTAAAATTGAGGAGTCTTCGGCCACTAGGGGCGTGGCAATCGGCATTTACAGTGCCCGAATTGCGACATTTATATGCGTCAGTCATTTATTTATGTATATGTACACATAAGTAGGCTTAATAGGCATTGATAGCACGGAAGGAAACATTTTTATAAAATTAATAAAATATAAAAAAGCTAAAATAACAAAAATTTGCAATTTACAAAAACGTGTTTTCAGCGGGATTTGAGCTCGCACCCAACCCAAACAGCATGTTTGTCAAAATAGGTAAAATAAAGATCGCCGGCGCTTCAGCCTACAGCACCACCGCGTCGTTTCGATCAATAGTAGTTAAAACGAAATCACATTATTGTTATGACGCCACATAGCAAAGAAAAGCCAGTGTAGCGGCTGGAATTTCAAAAACAATGCAAAGACAAATAAATCGCAACGGGATTCTTAGAATATGCTAGAGCACGCATTTATGTGTACATACATACACACATACAAATGAGCGCGTGTATAAGGCTGGAATGCTTGATGCTATGCGCGCAGGCAAACATATATAATTATATATACATATGTATGTATTTGCGTATATGTATTTGAGGGCTATTTAAGAAGAAACAAATTTAAACTTATAAAATTATTCGACTAAGAAAATGAAAAGTATTAAGTGCCATTCAGTCAAGCTCGCACCTTCCCAATAAAATATCTATTTTATAAAAAACGAAATATGTATGAAAAAAAAAAAAAAAAACATAGTAAAGGTTCGAACCTCCCCTACTCTAACATTACTTGCGTCGCCCTTAGCACCCGCGCCACTGCTTTGATCGAGCAATCAGTTGCTAAAATAGAATAGCTTAATAAGAGAGCGTCATCAGACAAAACTACAGTAACGGCTAGAAAGTCCAGAAATCAATCGAAATTCTAAGAATGTGAGAAAAGGCGCGCTTCTGTCTGTACGCAAAGAATAGACGATGAGTGTGTGCACATGTATAGGAAAATCGCGCTGATCTGCTGATAGTTTGAAGCCGGTATCTATATGGATACAAATATATATTATTAAAAGTCAAAATTGAATAAATTATATTATATATATAATTTAATTTGTAATTTGAATGCAATGATGCAATGATCATAGCAATAGATAGCTATCGATGATTTTCCAATTTTAATGGGATCATGCCCTGTTTTTTGTTGCGCACTAAGCTTGAAAATTGTACTATATACTCTGGTTGACAACGTTTGGGCTGTGAATGAGTCTTCTGCAATCGGTATCGCCCGACTGCAACGTTCTTACTTTTTTTTCATTAGAGTGGCCGATGACAGTCGTTCGCTCGCGATTTTTTTAAATAAATATATATATAGCGCCAGGAGTTGCAGTTCCTCCCTTCATACCCTCTTCCCTCTTCCCGATGACCTAATGGCCGGATCAAGTGCGTGCACTGCATAATCACTCTTAATCCACCATCTGCGCAATATACTGTAACACTTTACACATTTGTGATAATATAGCAAGACTAACGTAACTGCACCACACTCTGGCGACTGATGTACTTAAAAGGCTCAGAGAAAACCTTTTATACATCACCGATAGGCACAAATTTGATATATTTGTACCAAATATGCTAAACACGCCTGCTACATTCCATGTATCCGAAATTGATATAAAGATATTCAAAGGCACAATGGCCCAAACGGTCGTAGATTTTGTCACTCATACCAGAGTTCGATGGAAAGGGTGAAAATCTCCGTAGTTTCGTGGATGCATTAGAGCTTATAGATTCCACGAAGTAGTAGTGATAAATCTTATAAAAACAAAGGTAAAGGGTCGTGCACGTAATTTGATAAGCAATGAGCAGAGAATTTCTGCCATTGTTACGCACTTATCAAAAGCAGTTGAAGGTGAATCTGTAGAGGTAATATCTGCAAAACTCCTTAACCTGCAACAAAAGAGCAAGACTGCCAATAATCAATACACCCAAGAGGTGGAAACCCTGGCAAAGGCTCTAGAAGGTGCATATATAAGTGATGGTTTAACGTCTGAACTAGCACACAAATATAGTACGAACCTAGCTGTGAAAGCAATGACACAGAACTGCTCGTCGCCGGCGGCGTTCACGCTTGGCTGTCTGGTTCCGCTCCGGCGAATTCTCCGTGCTGGAGCTGGGTTGGCGCAGTAGGCGTCGATTCTCGACTGTGCCCGACGCGTAGCGTAGGGAGGAGACTCCTGCCGGTGGCTTCCCTCCAGTATTGGACCGACGCTGGAAAAGTGGTTTAGCGCCGCCACTTTCTCCAGGGCTTACACTCTCGGCACGGATTTTGTCCTCACCCCTACGGATCCACAACCTTTTGGCTTGGGGCGACGCCCTCGCGTCCCCCCCTCTGGCCACGTCCCGCGCCGCAGTCTCCGGGGATCTATAATCTCTCCTGCCGCTGGGGCCTCCTCCTCTTCACTCGCCGTCCAACGCGTCGGACTCGCTCACCTGCCCCCAGGCATCTGAATGTACACGGTCGTGTGATTCGACCGCATCAACATTACGAGGCCATCCAGCCGAGAGGCCACGTTCACTGTTGAAGCCTTGCTCCGACTCCTCTCTCTCTCCATGTCCACAAATTCCTCATCGCTACTGATTTCTATGACCTTTTCCATCTTCGCAATTTCCTGCAAATTTAAAACCTTTAATTCTCTGGTTTTATTCGTGTTAATGACCGAAATGGCCCTGGCCCCGGAATCGATTTCCCTCGTCGTCCAACCGGGAGTAACCTCGTCGTATAATGCGGCGGGTAAACATGGCTCCCGCCCTAACATTAGGAATGCTGGTGTAAACCCCGTGGAATTGGCCACACTTGAATTGACCATCAGCGTTATCTCGGACAATAGTTCATTCCACGAACTTTGATGGCCCTCGATGAATTGCGCTATCATACTCTTCACTGTGCGATTCGTCCTCTCCGTTGAGTTCTCCTGCGGCGAATAAGGTGCCGTGTATTGGAGTACCACCCCCAAGGATTTCATGAAGGACTTGAAACTCCTGCTCGCAAACTGTACGCCGTTGTCGCACACGAATGTCCTGGGCACTCAGAACCTGCTCAGTATACGTTCCCGGAACGCCAACTGTAGCAGCACGGTAGTGGCTCATCTCAACGACACATCGGTTGTACTAGCGACGCGAAGTTTGGTACGAAGCGCCTGTACCAAGATCCGCTGCCATTGAGATCAGTGCTGCCAACTTTTTACCAGAAAAAAAAAGCTGTTTTTAGATGGAAGAAACGGAAAAAAAAGCTGAAAATTTTTACAAAAAAGCCTAAAAAAAGCGGTTTTTATGGTTTGATTATTTTCATGTTTTTTTTTTTAATTTACAAGATTTTCAGCATGCTATCTAATTCGTCGCGACTAGCATCGCTTTCAGAATCGTACGATCTATTAGTACCTATCATGCGAAGATAATTTGGAGGAACTTTGTATTCATAGCAGCATTTGCCCAGTCTTCGCAAACCATATCTGTGTGTTATATTAAATAAAAAAATAATATATAAATCGGTATCATCTTTTCACTCTTAATAAAATATTACCTTATGCTAAGAATACTGTTTATTGTGTTCAGGCTCATTGAGTTCCTTAACTTGGACTTTACCAAGTTAAGCTGTCTAAATACGCGTTCCACCTCCGCGTTGGACCATGGTAATGAAAACATTTGCAGGGCAACAGCTGCCAAGTCAAGGAATCTGCAGTTGCCGCCAGAATCCTTGTAATTAGAGACTTCATTCCAAAATTTGGAGCTGTCATTGATGTTTTCCCACTTGACTAGATTAATATCATAGTACTGCCGCTCAATGTCGGCTATTCTGTCTACTTGGAGATGCTCTTGGCTAACGGCAAGTTGCACAGAATGACAAACACATTTTACCAAAATTAGCTGTGGAGCCTCCTTCTTCAATTCCGTGTAGACACTCCTGTTTATGACAACCATAACGGTAGCATTATCGGTACCAATGCCAATTAGATTTTTTATATCTAATTTGTATGACAATAACACGTTTTTCACGCCATCAACAATGCAAGTAGCATTACCAAATTCTAGTTGAACCAGACTTAAAAATGTTGAGACGAATTCACCTCGCGGAACGGAAAAGTACTTAATTACCAAACCTAAATAAGTATTCATATATAAACATACATGCAATACATGAAATTAAATATATTAAAATAACAAGAACAAATATTAAGATAAATACCTAAAAGTTTTGTAACGCTGATGTCCGTTGATTCATCGAGTATAAGGCTGAACTTAGAGTCGCCTATATCGCTGCACAAATCTTCGTAAAAATGACGCGCCAAAACATTTTTTATAATACTGGTGCATTTTGTGCGATGAAGCTTTATTCGCCCGGCTGTTGCAATATCAAAATGGCTGCTGCATAAATTACCCAAATGGTCTACCTGTGCCATAGCTGTGTGCTGTGCAATAAACAGACACAATGCTGCTTCCTGTTCCAAAGCTTTTGTAGGCAAGGTACCAAAATCAATTTTATTCTTTTGCTGGAAGCCACCCAACGCACTTGTGTGTTTTTCGTGCTTGCATGAGCACGAAGATCGCTCAGCTTTGCAGTTATTGTAGTCTTACAATAACTGCAATAGACCCTTGTGTCGTCCATGTCATCCCTGCGAAGCCACTCCTTGAATTCTTCGCTCTTTATCCAAGCATCACGGCACTTTGGCTAAAAATTTGTAGCCGAAAAAATCCCACTTATTGTGATCACAGTTTGTGTAAAGTAGTGGTGGTGATATTGGCGAATATCGATATAAACGTATGATAAAGCTGCCACTCTTTGACACATTTGGTATATTTTTACCAAACTTCTTCACAGGTTTATCGAAAATGGAAGATTTTAATACCAAACTTTTTTAACAAGTGGCAACCGCGCTGCTACATTTTTTCATTGGTGGCAGTATTAAAAAAAAGCGAAAAAAGCCAAATTCATTTTTTAAAAAAAGCCAGAACTCCCGCTTCCCGCAATTCCCAAATATTTCCCGCAATTGGTCTTCGGAAACAGTCAGATTTGACGGGAAAAAAGCTAAATTGGCAGCAGTGATTGAGATCTGCCAGTAACCGCTCTTTAGATCCAGCGAGGATATAAATCGTGCGTGTCGTAGCCTTTCCAGAATGTGAAGGATCCTCGGAACAGGGTACGCATCTGGGATCGAGTGGGCGTTGAGCCGTCGATAATCTACGCATCTACGCCACTCCCCAGTTTTTTTTTTGACTAAGACTATGGTTGCTCTGTGAGGGCTCTTCGACGGCTCAATGGCTCCAGCTTGAAGTAGTTCGTCCACCTGCTCATCTATCACTATGCAGAAAGTGAAAGTGAAAGCCGGATTCTTAGGATAGTACCTCTGTTTGAGAGGTTTGTTGTCCCTCATCCTGATACTATGTTCGGCTATGTGTGTCACTCCTTTGAGGTCTTCGAAGAGTGCCAGCTCCGCTTTTAAAAACTCCTGCAAATCGTCCTCCAACTCGTCCGGCCATTGCTTACTGCTGGGCGTGGATCATATATTTTCTCTCTGTTCTGTCTCATCGGCGGGCCCTCTCCGGGCTCGCCTCCTTTTCCAACTTGATTGCCTTGATCTCTAGTGGCCGCTCCCTGAGTCCACCCTTCTGGTCCTCGCTCTGCTCTGTCGCTCCCGCGGGAGGCCCAGCTCCCCTTCTCTGATACAGTTCCTTGCTTCCTTTTTTCTTATCCATCCTCGCCACCGGGAGATCCTCCCCAAGCTCACGCTCGGGCGTTCCTTTCGTGTCTCCACTAGCGAGCCAGTCCTGTCCTCTTCCCTGCGCGCTTTTCCATCCGACGACGGCGCTTCTTCCTCTGATTCTTCCACCATCCTCATCACCAACACGGCGTTGCCACTACGCACCGTGGTGCCGATGGCGCACAAAAAGTCCAACCGAGTACGTGGCCTAGCATGGTCGGCATTATGAGCAGAATCGCCTGAGGCGTCTTCCCTGCTAGACTCACGTCCGTCCTTATCATCTTTGTGACGTTCAGGGCTGACCCGTCCGTCAGCCTGATCCTTGAGTCCACGTCGCTGTACTCGCCCCGAATCGTTCGTTGGCGCACGCAGTCCTCGCTTACAAAACTGCGCGTGGCCCCTATGTCGATCGTGGCACTCATCTTTTGACCCCCGATCGACACCGTCGCGACGATCTTCCCCTCCTTCCCTCTGCTCTGCTCGCAACACTCCACCGTACTCCGGCCTTACTTTTGTTTCTCTTCTTTTATTTTACTAGGTTCTGCTTCATTTTTCTTTACTTTATTTTACTTTACTTTATTCCATATTGCTCCGCTTTACCTCGCTTGACTTGAATTTGCTTTATTTTCTTCGCTTTTACTTCGCCTCGCTTCGCTCGTGTTTATTTTACTCTTCTTTACTTAATCTTAATCTATTCCGTTTTATTTTGCTTTCTTTTCTTTTATTTTTTTCTTTACTTTTTTACATTTCGTCTTATTCTATTCCATTTCATATTACTTTCTCATTCTATTTTTACTGTCTCTTAATCGTATCTTCACTTCGCTTTACTGTCGTTACTTTAGTTTTATTCGTTTGACCTCGCTTCTGCTTTATTCTACTTTTACTTTAATTACTTACTTGACTTTATTTTATTTTTGCACCGCTCGCCTTTATTTTACTTAACCTTGCTTTACTCCTCTTCGCTCCGCTTCATTTTTTATACCCTGAACCCATTTTCAATGGGAAATCAGGGTATAATGGTTTTGTTGAAATGTATGTAACACACATACACACACACGCATACACACACAAACGCACGAAATTGTTTTAGTTACAGAGGAAGAAATCATAGTAACTCTCCGAGGTCTTAGAACCAACACAGCTCCAGGGCCGGACGGGATCCCAAATCGTGCGCTAAAGCTAGCCCTCGCCTTGCACCCAAGTACGTTCGCCGAATTATTTAACGAATGCCTGATCCAAGAGACGTTCCCGGCAAAATGGAAAGCCCAGAATCTGGTATTGCTACCCAAGGCTGGCAAACCACCAGATGAGCCATCTTCGTACAGACCGATCTGTCTCTTAGACACCATGGGAAAGGTGTTTGAGAAACTGATCTGCTCTAGGCTGGAGACTGCGATTGCAAGCGTCGGAGGCCTGTCACTAAACCAATTTGGATTCCGGAAGGCCCGGTCAACAACGGACGCGCTTAACAAAGTTGTCGGTCTGGCCACTTCCGCTATTCAAGGCACCAGATGGAGGCACGGGACGAAGGAATACTGCATCATCGCGACCCTGGATGTAAGGAATGCCTTCAACACAGCTAGTTGGGATATGATACTGAATGCGCTGTCACAATATAATATCCCTAAATATCTAAGAGAGATAATAAAGAGCTACTTCAGAGGAAGAACACTGGTATACAACACGAGTGAGGGTCCCCAAACTCATACAGTGTCAGCTGGAGTACCCCAAGGCTCAGTGCTGGGGCCTCTCCTATGGAACATCATCTACGACGGCGTACTGCGCTTGGAACTACCAGCAGGCGCGCACACCATTGGCTTTGCTGATGATGTAGCTGTCGTAGCCATAGGAAAGGAGCTCAAAGATACAGAGGATATTTGCAGCGAAAGTATCAATCGCATACGAAGCTGGTTGACAGGAGCTGGGCTCGAGCTAGCGGCACACAAGACCGAAGTTGTACTAGTCAGCAGTCGCAAAAGAGTGGAAACTGCCAATATAAAGATCGGCAGCGTCACCATTGCGTCAAAGAGGGCGATAAGATATCTTGGTGTCATGATAGACACAAGATTAACTTTCCGCGAGCACTTAGAATATGTGCATAAAAAGGCAGCTGATTCTTGTAGAGCTCTCTCGAGAATCATGCTTAACACGCGGGGACCTAAACAGCAACGACGTCTCCTCCTAATGAGCGTCATTAGGTCTGTCATCCTCTATGCTGCGCCAATATGGGCAAGAGCGACGGCAACGCCGTACTACAGCCGAGGCATTTGCGCGATCTACAGGCTGAGCGCAATCAGAGTCAGCTGCGCTTTCAGGACTATCTCCGATGACGCGGCGCTCGTCATAGCCGGTATGGTGCCACTGGAGTATTTGGTTCGCACGGGCCTACGCGACTCAACGCTGTCAGGGCGAACAGCATCGCACGATGGCAAAGAAGGTGGAATAGCTCAGCTAAAGGGCAGTGGACGCACAAGCTCATCCCGGAGCTTGAACCATGGGTTAACCGCAAACATGGCGAGGTTAACTTCTACCTTACGCAGATCCTCTCGGGTCATGGATGCTTTCGGAGCTATTTGAAGCGCTTTGGCCACGAGGAATCTGACGAGTGCCCCTGGTGCGAGCGAGGGCATGTGGAAGACGCCAACCACATTCTTTTCGAGTGTGGACGGTTCCTGGAGGAGAGGCGTCGTCTGGAAGAGGCAGTGGGCCGCTCCATCAGAGCGGACAACTTAGTCAACGCCATGCTGGAATCGGAGGAAGCTTGGGAACTAACAAGCACTTTCGCGGCCACGGTGATGATGGAGCTCCGCAGAGTCGAGCGACTGAGAAGACGAGCTGTCCCAGGCTAAGGTAGCGCATAGTGCTTGCGAAGCAATGCTTTACGGCCGTCCCGCAAGCACCGCGCGCTATCCTAGCCACCACGCAACTTGCAATATGTTATATAAGTTTGTCAATAAATGAATATAAAAAAAAAAAAAAAAAAACAAGTAAGAAGACTCTAGTCGAGACTGCTCGACTAGGAGATACCCTGAACCCTCTAATTTGATATACTACGCACTACGCACGTATTAGAACGCGCTCTGCTAACTCTGCAGTAAGCAGCGACTGCGCTTGGGCTGCGCTGCAGTGTGGGCAACATTATAAGCATTTATTTGTTGAATAATTTAATTTCTAGACGTACAATCTTAATGAAACTTTCAGAGCGTAATCATATGGTGAAAATGTATGTACATTCCAAAGCACACGTCTCTAGTACTTTAGGGGTGGGGGGTAAATTACAACAAAAATCGAAATTATATAAAATATATCTAAGTCTACATTTCAAATTTGCAAGCTCTAGCTCTAAAGGTGTAGGAGATATAATTAAATAGCTAGCTTTCGATAAGGTTTTTAATCGATAATAAAATATCGGGAGTAGTTATCGATATAAAAAGAAAAACTTGATATGCGCGTGATATACACGGAGCTAGGAAAAAAATTTCAAATCTCTAACTCTTATATCTTCTGAGATCGACGCGTTCATACATACGGACGGACGGACGGACGGACGGACGGACGGACGGACAGACAGACGGACAGGGCCAACTCGACTCAGCTCGTCGCCCTGATCAAGAATATATATACTTTGTGGGGTCTGCCACGCCTCCTTCTGCCTGTTACATACTTTTAACAAAACCATTATACCCTGATTTCCCATTTTCAATGGGTTCAGGGTATAAAAACACAAACGCATACACACACACATACACAAACACATACCCACACAAGCACCCACGAATAAACACGCATGGGCTGCAGTGTGCGCTTACTATGAGAACTTAATTGCTTAATAACTTTTTTGTGACATACGATCTTCATGAAACTTTCAGATTATGATTACAACATGTATATGCATGTATTTGTCAAAGCAAAAGTCTCTAGTATTTGAAATACGCCTTTTACAAATGTGATGGTGAGGGGGGTAAATTTTAGCAAAAACCTATATTGCATAAATTGCATATAAGCATACATAAACAAGTAAGAACGTTGCAGTCGAGCGTAACCGACTGCGGAATACTCATTCACACCCCATCAACAATTTAGTTGCTAAGTTTAGCTCTAATACTGTAGAAAATGCGGTTTTTCCCGATTTGCCATGCCCATATTGGGCGTAGACACCTCATTGTTTGTCAGTTCTTAGAACAAGATAACGGTACCCTAACTGCAAATTTTGAATGCTTACCCTCAAAAAATGTGAAAATTACAGGGTATTTTTCGATATGCCACGTCCCTAAAGAGGCGTAAAAATTATTTTTAGGCCATCGATAGAGGTTACTCGTAATTTAACTATCTAGCTTCTAGCTATTATACTTTCGGAGATATAAACTTTTGCGGTTTGCCACGCCCCCTGTGGGCGGACATATATCCGACAAAGTTTTTTGGTCTTGGGTGATCAGCCGAGTATATATACAAAATTTGAGGTCTCTGGCATCAGTAGTGTCCAAAATATAGCAGAATTTAAAAAAGCACTTTATCTTCAGGTCCAATTTGCCACGCCCCTAATGGGCAAAGACTTATAATTTGTACTTTGACTATACATAATCATAACATTAGCTGACGTGCAAAATTTCAGCGCTCTAGCTGTAAAACTCTTGGAGATACAGTTTTATCCGATTTGCCACGCCCCCAATGGGCGGAGATATATCCGCCATAGCTCGTGGTCTTGGGCGGTCGATGCAGGTCTATATTCCAAATTTCAGCTTTCTACCTCTTCAATTAATATCATTTCTGGCATATCGGAAAATGCATTTTCCGATTTGCCACGCCCCTAGTGGGCGGATCGGGAAAATTTTAACACTTTATAAATCTGAGATATACACGAGTATGTGTTCCAAATTTCAAGTCTCTAGCTTCAATAGCGCTGAAATAGATTGCGTTCATACGGACAGACGGACGGACGGACAGACGAACGGACATCAAGACGGACATTGCACAAAACCAATATACTGATTCACTTTCGTGAATGAGTATAAAAATTTGGAGACTAGCAATAATGGTGTAGGAGATATAATTTTATAACTGGTTTTCGATAAGGTTTTTTATCGATAAAAAAAAGATCGGGGTGAGTTATCGATTTTTAATGATAAAGTTGATATCCGCACTGTAATTACGGACATTTAAAAAAATTTGAAGTCTCTAGCTCTTATATCTTCTGAAATCGACGCGTTCATACATACGGACAGACAGACGGACAGGGCCAAATCAACTTTGTGGGGTCTGCCACGCCTCCTTCTCCCTGTTAAATACATTTCAACAAAACCATTATACCCTGATTTCCCATTGAAAATGGGTTCAGGGTATAAAAATGAAAAATTATTCACAATTAGCTATACTGGTATCTGACTTGAACTTGAATGCTTGTATTCGATAAAAACATAACGGGATGATTTATCGAATTTTATATACACACACACATACACACACACATACACAAACACACACACATACACAAGCACCCACGCATAAACACGCATGGGCTGCAGTGTGCGATTACTATGAGAACTTAATTGTTTAATAACTTTTTGTGGACATACGATCTTCATGAAACTTTCAGATTATGATTACAACATGGATATGCATGTATTTGCCAAAGCACAAGTCTCTAGTATTTGAAATAATTTGAAAAAAAAACGAAATTGCATAAATTGCATATAAGCATACATAAAAAATTTGGAGACTCTATCAATAAAGGTGTAGGGGATATAACTTTATAACTGGTTTTCGATAAGGTTCTTTATCGATAAAAAAAAGATCGGGATGAGTTATCGATTTTTAATGATAAACTTGATAGCCGCGCTGTAAATACGGACATTTAAAAATAAAAAATTTTAAGTCTCTAGCTCTTATATCTTCTGAAATCGACGCGATCATACATACGGACAGATGGACAGACAGACGGACAGGGCCAAATCAACTCAGCTCGTCGTCCTGATCAAGAATATATATACTTTGTGGGGTCTGCCACGCCTCTTTCTGCCTGTCACATACATTTTAACAAAACCATTATACCCCGATTTCCCATTGAAAATGGGTTCAGGTTATAAAAATGAGTTTCAGTCCCACAATTGCCTTGTAGCAAATGCCTTCCTGGTGTACGCAGAGTTATGCTGGTAAGTATATGTATATACATATGTATGTATTGTATGTATAGTCACGCTTCATACAGAATTAATTTCAAACTCTTAAGTGCAAGGGGCACTCGTTAACATAAATCTAATTGCAGGAGACTAACGCGTCTCTTTCGGCATGTTACATACATTTTTAAAAAATATATATACATATATATACATACATGTGACAACAATTGCAATCACATTTCAACTTGAATCATTGGTCGATATTGCTTTTACATACAGCAATTTTTTATTAGGACATTTTATTATTTTACTGAGTTTAAGTTATTTTCACAAGAACTATAGGCCACGCCAACTCCAAAGCCAGCCCCTAGCCAAGTAGGCCACAAACGTCTTCTGAAAAATAATAATGACACAACCGATCCAATGATAAGACCGCCACCTGTAAATAAAAAATACGTTTGTTAGTTTTCTAAGAAAATTTAATATCAATAAAGTGTATTTAATACACGTGAAGTATATGAAAAGCCCCTTTTACGACGATTTTTCATTTCCAACTGGTTTATTGCGAAGCCAAATCTTACTGGGATCTTGGTGATGATCATATTAAACAAGTAAGAAAGCTCTATTCGAAAGCTCTCAACTACGAGATCCCCTGTACCCTTCCAGCAATAGCTATTTCAATAATTTTTTCGTCTTTCTGCTACACAATAAACACGCGATAACACACGCATACACACACACACCCACACAAGCACCCACGCATAAACACGCATGGGCTGCAGTGTGCGCTTACTATGAGAAGTTAATTGTTTAATAACTTTTCTTGTGGACGTACAATCGTCATACAACTTTGAGATTAGGATTATAGCATAGATATGCATGTATTTGCCAAAGCACAAGTCTCTAGTATTTGCAATACGCCTTTTACAAATATGTGGGTGAGGGGGTGGATGTAAGGGTGAAGGCCAATTCTAACAAAACCCGAAATTGTATATGCATATAAGTATACATTCAAAATTTATAGACTCTAGATTTAAAGATGTAGGAGATATAATTTTACAACTGATTTTCGATAAGGGTTTTTACCGATAAAAAATAACGGGATGAGTTATCGATTTGATAAACTCGATATCCACGCTGTATATACGGACATTTAAAAAAAAATTCAAGTCTCTAGCTCTTATATCTTCTGGAATCGATGTGTTCATACAAGAATCAAGACTATATATGTATACTTTGTGGTGTCTGACACGCCTCCTTCTGCCTGTTATATACATTTTAACAAAACCATTATACCCTGATTTCCCATCTTCAATGGGTTCAGGGTATAAAAAGTAGGAAAGATCTAGTCTATGATATCCCCTGTCTATGAAATCTCCTGAACCCATCGACAAATTTTTTCCGTTTTTCTGCTTACACAAGAACCACACACACAGCTTACTATGTGAACTTAATTGTTTATTAACATTTCTAGTCGAAGGACTATCTTCATCTTTCAGATCGTGATTATTACATTGAAATGAGTGCATGTGGCAAAGCACAAATCTCTAGTATTTCAAATACACCTTTTACAAATATATGGGTGAGGAGGTGAATATTGGGGTGAGGGGTAAATTACAATGTTCTGTCAAAGTCTATTCGTCTTTGTATAATGATTCAAATTAATAGTTAGGATTAAGAATACGTAGACTTTTGACAGAAAGATACATATGTACACTGACCAGAGAACACACAGACTAGACATGTAGCACAAAGTTTTTCAACACCGAAAAATCTGTCTCCTCGGGCCTATCAATTTCGTATTTGCTCGGCTCTTCGCTTTTAGGTTCGGGCTACGAAAATATGCGAAAGCCCAATCATTCCGCTTCATGCGCTCGACCGAGATGGTCAAATGTTGAATAAAAGGTGCCTCTAAAATAAATAAAAGAGCCTCTTCAATTAATAACCAAAATCGTTCACACCATTCTAAGTTGAGGTAGACACACGCCAATGTTCATCTCCCAAACAAAGATAAACACACACGCACATGTAAAGGCACACAGGCATACAAATGGCTCTACAATTTATATCCCATAATTGTGAGCAGCGCATCCCATGCGTACACACAATCAAATGTATATACATACAAACATACATATGTATGTGAGCACTTCACAAGATCGACCAAATTCAAATGCTGGGCTTCAAAATTGCTACAGGCAGCCAGAGCTTCACACACAGACATACAGGCTCATAGTACATGTAGCAAGGGACAGTGTGTGTGTGCATGCTCGTCGGGAAAGAATTTTCATTATGCGCACCAACGCTTTCATACCCTTCCCACAAATAATAACGAAAACGCAAATATTTTGTACGAGCTTGGTAAACGGTTTGAAGAGTTCGGAATACTCTTCGCACGTAAGGGAAGAAACGGCAGTCTAACGCGAAGAAATTTCAATTTTCGTGAGCTGCTGCTTGTGCTCACATGCATACATACATATACATATTTGAGAGAGCAAAAAGCAGACAGAGCGAGAGAGCAAGAACAAAAATTGAGCATAGATGCATCTTTTATTTAACATTTGACCATCTCTCTCTGATTGGGCTTTCGCATATTTTCGTAGCCCGAGCCTAAAAGCGAAGAGCCGAGCAAATACGAAATTGATAGGCCCGAGGAGAAAGATTTTTCGGTGTTGAAAAACTTTGTACTACATGTCTAGTCTATGTGTTCTCTGGTCAGTGATATGTATGAGTATTTTTGTTTGTATGTATTCTTGATCAGGGTTTCAAAAAGTTGTTGGCCGAGTCTCTGTAGCCCTGTCCGTCTGACTGTGCGTATGTATGAACGCGTCGATGTCAGATGATATTAGAGCTAGAGACTTGACATTTTTGTTCCTACATCCGTGTATATCAGGCGCAGATAGAGTTAGTTCACTGACCAAAGAACACATAGATGAGACATGTAGAACAAACTTTTTCACCACCGAAAAAATGTGCATTAGGGACTACTCACCTTCGTAGTTGCTCGGCTCCGTCTCTTACGGCTCGAGCAGTGAAAATACAACACTACAAAGTCAGTTCGTTGCGAGCGCTCAAACGAAATGGTCCCATTCTTATATGAAGCAAGGCTATGCGCTATTTGTCCTACTCTCTCTCTCACTCTATCTCTCTCTTTGGTCTTTCAAATCACCGAACTCAGCAGCGCACAAAAATTGAATTTTGTTCGCGATGATCCCAGCTCTTTCCCTTTGAAGTGATACCTAATCATAAAAGCGTTTGTCACGCTCATGCAAACAAAACGTAAGCGTTTGTATGGTTATTCGTGAGAAGGGTATGAAAGCGTTGATACTCATGGCAATGCTTTCGCGACGAGTGTGCACACAGACACACACACTTGCAGTCTCTGGAAACATGAGCATTCGTGGCCTGTGTGCGTAACTTTTGCTGCTTGTAGTAATTTTAAAGCCCAGCATTTGCATTTGGTCGATTTTGTGCTCACAAACATACATACATACATGTATATACATATGTACATTTGATTGTGTGTATGCATGAGATGCTGAGTTCGGTGATTTGAAAGACCAAAGAGAGAGATAGAGTGAGAGAGAGAGTAGGACAAATAGCGCATAGCCTTGCTTCATATAAGAATGGGACCATTTCGTTTGAGCGCTCGCAACGAACTGACTTTGTAGTGTTGTATTTTCACTGCTCGAGCCGTAAGAGACGGAGCCGAGCAACTACGAAGGTGAGTAGTCCCTAATGCACATTTTTTCGGTGGTGAAAAAGTTTGTTCTACATGTCTCATCTATGTGTTCTTTGGTCAGCGGTTAGTTTCTATAAATCGATAGCTACTGTTAATTTGTTATCGGTTATAACTTATCGAAAATCGTAGTCTTCTACATCTTTCAAGTCTCCATATTAAAAACATATGTACCTATTTATTTTATAAAATTTTGATTTTTTTTAATTCTGCCCTCTCCCTCCCCGACCCACCTTACCAATAATTGAAAAGGGCGTCTTTTGTAAAGGGATTTTGTTCAAAAGTCGTCCATCTCGGTCGACCGCATGAAGCGAAATGATTGTGCTTTGTCATATTTTATTAGAAGTAAGACACTGAGCTTTGCTAAAAAAAAGTGCAAAATACTTTACACTTCGTGTTCGGTCTATGTATTCTATGGTAAAGTGGTAAAAGTGGTCGAATTTATAGTGTGTTTCTTGAAAATGAGATTTTGTTGCTATATATGATATATTCACTTCGAAAGAACAGCATTGTGCATTAAGAGACTATTGGTACATTGCATACAAATTTAAACCTCTAATACAGTATATTATATAATAGTAAGCACTCACTTCCTTTAACAATTGTATCAGATACACATCGATCGAACTTCATGCCCATTTGCTCTTCTGAAAATCCCATCTCACTGGTTGGCATTATTATTATTATTTTAATTCTGTATTTAAAGCACTACTCTTTTACAAATGGGTATTTTTAAAAAGGGTTTTCCAATAGAGATGAGCGATAGTTCCTATACCAATTACTTGTACTAAGTATTAACTCTGGTCAGTGTCTCTGGTTAGTGCTAGTATCGATCTATCTTACAACAGAAACTCCATCGATACTATCGATATTTCCATCGACGGCTTTGCAGCACTACTTAATACGGGATATACAGAATCATTTACTCGAATTCCTTAAATAAGCTCACAACGAAAATATATTATATATATATATATTTTGATATATATATATATATATATATGATATAAATATATATATTTTGATATATATATATATATATATTTTTTTTTTTTTTTCTCAGAGATATTCTTAAGTAGTGTCCTTGTACTTACATTCTGTTCACTTGCACTCGAATTGCAAAATGTGTATACTTGTGGTGTCTATATCCATACATAATTGTGCACGCCAGTCTAGACTCTAAATTGCAATATTTTACATATATAAAACAAAATTAAACACCCGATTAGTTAACTATACGACTAATAAACTATATGGCTATATTTATTCATTTATGTACATACATTCATACAATTTCGCTGACAAAATGGTACTGAATGTACGTACATACATACAGATATTGTGAATGCAAATATAATGTATGTATGTATGTATTCTACTTTGGTATATGTCAATATATTAAGTTTTGCATCAATCTTATATATTTGTATGTACATATATACGTAAACATCTGTGTACAACTTTGTGATCAAATGGTCTGTAGATGGTTATGTTTTACACTTCTATTTGCGGACATAAATGCATGCATGTCTACATATGTATGTATGTATGCATTGGCAGGTTTGTTCTTATGTGCATACAGTGTGCCAATAATGTCTTCGTACAGCAGCACATTTTTCTTTGAAACCGACTATATAGTAATAAACTAAAAAAAATTGTACTACAGTTTTATTACCTTATTTATTAATATTAACTTACAAACAGAATGGGGTCTATATGTTGCTAAGTTTAATACAGTGTGCGTCATTAAAAATCGTACAGATAATATGAATTTAAAATTTAGCTCTTAACTTCTAAAATAAACAACATTTTTGTACAAAATATTTTTTAAAAGGTAGGCTGTACAAAAAGGTTTCATATAATGTTCATAGAACAGGGAGTAGCAATCCCATTTTTTCTTAAATTGGGGCACTGACCAAACAACACATAGACTAGACATGTAGAGCAACGTTTTTCCACGCCGCAAAATCTGTGCAGCAGGTCCCGGCCAACTTCGTATTCGCTCGGCTTGGTATTGGCTGGCTCGGGTAATGAAAGATAGCACGACGAAATCAGTGCGCTCTAAGCACGCAATCGAAATGGTCATATATGCGCTTTGCGTTTTTTGTCTTACTCTCCCTCTAACTCTCTCTCTCTCTCTCTCTGTGGGCTCTCAAATCATGAAGCTCAGCAGCGCACAAGAATTGAAATTTCTTCGCGACGGTCCCAGCTCTTTCCTTTTGAGTAAAGAGTATACCGAAATCTTAAAATCGTTTGCGACATTCATGCAAACAAAATGTTAGCGTTTCGATATATATTTATGGGAAGGGTATGAATGCGTTGAGGCGCATAAAGAATATGATCTCGCGACGGGCATGCACACACACATTTACATCCTTGCTACGTGTATGTGCTTTTGTGTGCGTGCGTCGCGAAACTCAATTCTTTCTCAGTATTTTCGTCTATTATCAGCCCAAAATTTGCCGTTGGTCTGCCTTGTGAAGTGAGCACATGCATACATATGTACATTTGTGTATGTGTATGCTTGTATGGGATGGCAAGCTAATTGTCTCTGGATTTAGTAGTTTGTAAATTTTGTATGATTTGAATCGTAGGGTGACTATCACATGGGCCATTATGACTTAATTAGAAATTTTTGACAATAATGAGTAAAGCTTGAGTATAATATGAAATGTGTATTTCATATATTGCAAAGCATTTAATAAAGTTAGTAGTGTTTTACGATAATTTTTTCGGTTAAAAATGTGTATAAAATAATTTTAATTATATATAATTATTTACGGATATAAACACATTTATAAACATGATTAGCAATAATAATATATAAATGTACTTATGTACATATGTTGTATGTTCATACATAGTACATCTGTTTAAAGTGGTTATGACAGTCCGTAAGACCGACCAAATGCAAATGCTGGGCTTTAAAATTGCTACAAGCAGCAAGAGTAACGCACGCAGGTCACAAATGCTCATACATGTAACAAGGGACTACAAGTGTGTGTGTACTTGCCCGTCGCGAAATAATATTGTTTATGCGTATCAACGCTTTCATACCCTTCCCACGAATAACCATCGAAACGCTTACATTTTGTTTGCATGAATGTCGCAAACGATTTTAAGATTTCGGTATACTCTTTACTCAAAAGGAAAGAGCTGGGACCGTCGCGAAGAAATTTCAATTTTTGTGCGCTGCTGAGCTTCATGATTTGAGAGCCCACAGAGAGAGAGAGAGAGAGAGTTAGAGGGAGAGTAAGACAAAAAACGCAAAGCGCATATATGACCATTTCGTTTGCGTGCTTAGAGCGCACTGATTTCGTCGTGCTATCTTTCATTACCCGAGCCAGCCAATACCAAGCCGAGCGAATACGAAGTTGGCCGGGACCTGCTGCACAGATTTTGCGGCGTGGAAAAACGTTGCTCTACATGTCTAGTCTATGTGTTGTTTGGTCAGTGATTGGGGCAACACCTCAAACTGTACGAAAATGTAGTGTCACTGGAAATCGTACAGCTGTTTAATTTAATCAAATTTCGGGTATTCCAAAAACTTTTCCAATTGAGCTTAGCTGAGAATGTAGCTGGAGGTGTCTTTAGTGATTTTCCGCTACATTTATGTAATTTAAAAGCTTCACTTAAAAGCCATGAAGCAGACATCTTCTAAGGAGCAAGTGCTGGCTATTTTCCAGTATAATAGTGGAAAAAGTGATACTGAGATAGTTAAATCCTTAATAGACATCGAAGTACCATTTAGTATATCATGAAATGAATTAAAATAAACAGTACAGTCCAAAATAAATTAAAAGTTCAGGAAAATACAAAGTTAAAAGAAAACAAGTAAGAAAACTCTAGTCGAGAGTGCTCAACTAGATACTACCCTGAACCCAACTAATAAAAATGCCCATTTACTATGGCTAAAATTTCAATTTCGATGTATTTAAAAATATAAATGATATACAAAACTCATTTAATAAAATATAAAAATATTTTGAACCAATTGCCGCTTGGGATTCGAACCCGCGACTTCTCGATCGAGTGTCACGCAGCTACTCACTACGCCACCTCACTTTCGGAAGCCGTTTTGGCAAAACTGAAATAGATTCACTGCTGCAGCGCCATCTAGCAAAACCAAACCAAACTAACTGCTGATGTGATTCTAAGAATCTGCTAGAATAACCAAACTTTTAAAAACGCACATTTAGTATGGTTAAAATTTCAATTTCGGTGTATTTAAAAATATAAATTAAATAGAAAACTCATTTATGAAAATATACAAATATTTTGAAACAATTAACAAAATTAACATCAGTTGCACCGATCGGGAACCGCGACTTCCCAATCGAGCGTTATGCCGCTAACACACTACGCCACCTCACTTCTGAAAGCGGCGATGGCAAACTCAAATAGATTCACTGCTGCAGCGCCATCTACCAAAACTAAACCAAACTAACAACTGATGTGATTCAAAGAATGTTCCAGAAGAAGTTTGAATGTATGTGTGTACACGTATACGATGCTGTTGTAGCTGCTGCACGTGCGTTTGTTAATTGGCCAAATATTTGATGAAACTTTCAGCATATGATCTACATATTATATTGAATATTTGAGAAATTCAAAAAAATGAAAAATCATTCACAATTAGCTATAGTGGCATCTGACTTGAACTTGAATGTTTTTATTCGATAAAAGCATAACGGGATGATTTATCGAATTTTAAAAGCAAATTCGATTCCATCCGCGCTGTATATACGGTCATTAGAAAAAAAATCTCTATCTCTTATATCTTCGGAAATCGACGCGTTCAAAAATACGGACATACGGACAGACGGGCCAAATAAACTCAGCTCGTCGCCCTGATCAAGAATATATATACTTTGTGGGGTCTGACACGCCTCCTTCTGCCTGTTATATACATTTCAACAAAACCATTATACCCTGATTTCCCATTGAAAATGGGTTCAGGGTATAACAATACAAGGTGGATAGTTCGACGAATAAAACAAATTGCCTTCCCGAAAATTAACAACGAGCTTAAATTATATTTAAACAAGTAAGAAAGCTATAGTCGAGACTGCTCGACTACGAGATCCCCTGAACTCTTCTAGCAATAGCTATTTCAATCATTTTTTGCGTGTCTCTGCTTACACAAGAAACACGCACACGCATAAGCACACATGGGCTGCAGTGCGCGCTTACTATGAGAACTTAATTGTTAAATAACTTTTTTTGTGGACATACGATCTTCATACAACTTTGAGATTATGATTATAGCATAGATAAGCATGTATTTGCCAAAGCACAAATCTCTAGTATTTGAAATAAGCCTTTTACAAATATGTGGGTGAGAGGGTGGATATAGGGGTGGGGGTAAATTTTAATAAAAACTGAAATAGTATAAATTGTATATAAATCTACATTAAAAATTTAGAAACTTTAGCTATTTAAAGCTGGGTGATCAGCCCAAGTATACATACAAAATATAGCAGAATTTAAAAAATCACTTAATCTTCAGGTTCGATTTGCCACGTCCCTAATGGGCGTAGACTTCTAGCTCTTTAGATGCATTTTCCGATTTGCTACGCCCCTAGTGGGCGGATCGGGAAAATTTTAACACTTTATAGATCGGAGACATACACGAGTATGTGATCCAAATTTCAAGGCTCTAGCTTCAATAGCGCCGAAATAGATTGCGTTCATACGGACAGACGGAGGGACGGACAGCAAGACGGACATTGCACAAAACCAATATACTGATTCACTTTCGTGAATGAGTATAAAAATTGGTGCCAAGCTAGGATTGCCGAGGTCTTATTATTTCCAACAAGACAATGACCCTAAACACATGGCTCATGATACGAAAATGTACTGGGCTTATAATACGACAAATTTATTAAAAACGCCTCCCCAAAGTCCTGATCTTAATCCAATAGAAAATTGTTGGCATATATTAGAAAAAACAAGTAAGAAGGCTCTAGTCGAGACTGATCGACTAGGAGATACCCTGAACCCTTAAAGCTGATATTCTAATCATTCTGGACTTCTTTTATGCACACATACATACACATGCACTTATAAGCACGCGTTCTGCTGACTGCGCAGTTAGCAGCGGCTGCGCTTGGGCTGCGCTGCAATGCGGGCAATATTATGAGAATTTATTTGTTGAATAACTTCTTTTGTAGATATACAATCTTAATCAAACTTTAAGAGCGTTATCATATGGTTAAAATGTGTGTACATTCCAAAGCACAAGCCTCTAGTACCTGAAATTTTTACAAATTGAGGGCGAAGGGGGCGTGGTATCCAAAATCTGTAAATTACAAG